TAAAAATACAGGATGCCTCTCTGGAGACATGCATCTTTTAGGAACAGATACTCAGCTGTATGCACAGCTCCATTAAAGGCAATGGATCCTCCCAAATGAGCATTTTTAGCAGTCTGTAATAATGTGATAGTAATACAAACTGCAGAGCTGGCTCCCCGATCTCCATACACAGGAAATACCATCACAACATCATGGCAGCCATAAAATATATCAGAATACCTCCAGTAATGGCAATTCAGAAAGTTAGTGTGCAGATTGTTCCGCGTGGTAAACCTCCAACGTAGCTGGTTAGCAGCTGTATATGTTCTAGAAAGAGAAACACTTCGTAAGGCTTTTCCAACAAGCCACAAATTGTGAGGACTGTTTTAAATACTTCTGTCATGCAGCAGTAATGTATGTGCAGCATTCAGCAGCACGTGCTGTCCTAGCCTGCCCTAATTTTATTAACCCTATTTCGTGAGGGAGAAAATGTCATCCACTTTTCAGAATATGGATCATCTTAATGTTTATATCGAAATCATTTCAGTATTTTCCATTGTGATTTTAGATACACACGATCTTCAGTGTTCTCTGGAACCTGGGAGTCAAAGCTGTAATAAAATAAAAAACCACAAGTCACATGCATTCCTAGGAGACAAAACTTGGGAGAAAAAGGTATAGACCTGTATGTATCAGCTTCAGGTGCACACACTGCTTAGAAAGGTATGCTGCCCTCCTGGGGAGCAGCCACACAGAGCAGCAAAACCCTCATTAGGAAGCTGTGCATTTTCCAAGAAAGCCAGAGGATGGAAGGCTTCCAAAAGCCAGTGCCTTCCAGCCAAGGGACTGGAGCCAAGCTGGATGCTGTGCAGTTTGGCCATGGACAAGTCATTATCAGCAGCATCTCTGTGCCTGACCAGAACATCTCAGCTGGTTCTTTGGGGTGCTTTTGTTTAATCAGCACTATTGCACTTTTAGCTGCAGACAGCTCAGACACTTCATGCAATAGGACACGCCACGTGCACTCCTGGCACACCGAGATCCAGGGGCTGACAGCTGACCCCACGGCATCTCACTCCAGCAGTCTGCCATACATCACGAGGCTGGGACAGCCCTGAGGGTTCTGCAGGGTCTCCCAGGGGGAACAGCATCATCTCCAACACTCCATGCAGGAGGAGGGCATTTTCGGGTACCATGCCATCAGCATGCCCAATGCTGCTTCAGGGACATCACTGCTTCCCTGGGAGCCCCAGCACTCCCATCTGCCTGCACCCTGACAGCAGCAGCGGGGGATAACCCTAGGGCAGCTTCACTCTGCAGCCTTCACACAAATTGAAATGTTGCTTCCAGAACCCCAAATGTAATTGGGGGTACGGCAAGGGCAAGCCAAGCTGCAACAACAGAGGGCTCAATAAAAGTGTCAGACTGAAACAAAAGCACTGCCAGGAGTCTCCCAGCTCAGCGAGAGAGGCGAGCAACTCCCATGAGCAACAAGTGCCCTTTTGCTTTTAAAGCTCTTTGGGCAAGCTTTCATCTCAGCAACATACCGTCTCAGTACAATACCTGCCATATTCTGTGCTTCCTAACACCACTACTTCCTTGCAACCTGCTTCCTCAGGGTGAGGAAAACTTTGCCAGAAAGCACATAGGTTGAAGCCAGGCTAGCAGTTAGATGTGAGAACAGCAGCAGCTACAAGCCAGGCTTATCAGTGTAACAAAGGTCCTTTATTTCTAAGATTTGTTCTTATTCTGAGTCCTATTTGTCAACTGAACACTCAGTTGACACAGTTCAACCAAAATGAAAGCCCAGGTGTATTCACCAGCACCACACACACCTGTCCTTACAGTGAATGCACAGGGACTGCTTTTTCGGTGTAGAGAGCAGACATCCCCATAATGAATCCTCCACTCCCAAAAAATCAGACCTGTGTCACAGAAGGAAACCTTAATTGATGGTCACAATGGAAAAAAAAAAAACAAAAAAAAAAGTCTTTTTAGGTTTAGAAGCCACGAAACAACTTGTGTTTCATGTAAATAGACACAAAGTGCTTTATCAGGTGAAAGGTAATCGCTGGCAAAAGCACTCAGTGCGGCACGGCGTCTCCTCTTATCTCCTCTCCCCAAACACAGGTCTGCTGGTCACTGGTGGAAGCGCTGCCCACAGAACAAAGCTGATCTGTTATGTTGCACAGAACTCCGTGAGGTCGTGCATTTGCACTGTCAGCAGTTCCTTAGAACACAATCTCCTCCATGTCAGCGCTAATAACGGAACTGAGAGAGATCATTGGCTGAGGGAATTATTTTTTCCCTATAAGGATGGAAAGAATTGGGAAGAGTGCTCTTTCTCTTGAATATATTTGGCTCTATGGAAGACACACGTGATGCAAATGTTACTATGGAAACTATTCTATTAAATAATATTAAATTTACATATTTAAAGTGCACACAAATGGTCCAGGTAGAAACCTAATTAGCCTACACTGGACTTGAAATTACAAAGTAGAGCCTCTCAGAATCGTCAGTTTTCCTTCAAAAGAAGCTCGGTTTTGAGCAAGCTGCTTCTCTGCACCCCTTTCTTCACACATGTAGCATTTGCACCCCTGTTATTCCAAAAAGTCATTTTTTGAAGTAATTTGTAGACACAAGCGCTGCTCTGGTTCCCTTGGTGATGAAATTACCATGGCATTACAGAGGAAAAACCCAGGAGCTGAGTTCCATTTGAAAGGACAACGCACTGATTGCAGCTGTGCCACCATAGCAGTGAGCATATTTGAGTAGCTCCCTTCACACCTCACCACACACAGCATCCAAGCCCTTCCCAACCAGCAGGAGCTGCACACAGGGCTGGAGCAGCCTTGTCCTTCCTGATGCTGTCAGAGCACACCAAAGTTGCAAAGTTTCCCACTCTGTGGATTAAGGTTTAGACTATTTTTCACTTCCCATCTCCAGCTCCTGAGTGTAGGAGAGCCCTTCCCAATGCAGCTACCCAAAAAACCAAGCTGTCCCACAGCTCCTCTCAAGGAGCCAACTTCCCATTTGCCATCGAATAATATTGAACTCAAGCTCTGTCTAATATCAAGCTGCAGCTCAGGCCTCTTCTGCACTGGCTGGGCACATCCACAGCTGATTGAGGAGGAAAAGCCAGCAGGGGTGAGGAGAGTTACTGGGGCTGTGCTGTGAAGTGGGTGCTGGCAGCTGCAGTGCTGCTTCGGGCAAACATGCTTGTCCTGTATCTGAAGATCTCAGGTTAATCGTAATTAACCCAAGTACCCACTTTCACTTGGATTTCATAAATCAGGACACTGGGCTCTTAAGCAGCTTATAGGGAACACAGGTTACAGGAGGAAGCCTGCAATTGTATTTCAAACGTCTGAGCAATATTTTAAACTGAAAACTTTAAGGAGAAAAAGCTCTACTGTTAACAAAACTACTTACTCCCAGGTAAGAGGGGGCACCAGGGCATGAACAGGGCACCTCATGCCCACAGCTCCAGCCTCTGTCACCAGGTAGCAGCTACTGGCTTCCTCCCTTTGGCCAGTCAATGGGACAGCATTCCCAGAGCAAAGGGAAGCCTGGAATGACCAGTTCTGGGCTCTTCACTTTAACAACTCTCTAAAGCACAGTCACTCTGGGACATCTTCACTAAAGCACTTTCTCCATTAATAGGGCTTCCACTCATCTCAGAGCAGATGCGCTTTGTTCACATTCCTGCTAGGTTTCACTGCCACAAAATGGAAAGATGTGTCAAAGTTTAATCTTACTTTTTATTCACACAGGAACAAACTGAATACCAATACATACTCAGTGCTGGAACGATGGCCATGGTACACTGATCCTGCCAGACTTACTACAGGCTCTCTCCAAATGATGTTATCTCCATCTGTCACTGAATCAGATGGTTCTTAAAGAGTGAACAATACTCAGAAGTACAGGTACAAGAAAAACAGCATCTTCCCTTTGGTGCAGGAACATATTAAAAACCCAAACAAGTCAGGGAGATGAACACTATAGGTTCTATTGAACATGGGCATGCATGTCATCAGCAAACACTTCCCGATGACCAAACACACCCCACAATAAATCTGGATGTAAAACTCATGCTACAAACAATTCAGAACTGCCCAATTAATAACCCATCAGCTGTCAGTAAACACAAGAAATAAGTTGCCTGCCTGTCCTGAGGTGCAGGTTCGTTTATGAAGGCACTCGACAGACACAAAACCTCCCTCCGGGCTGAGCTCCCGCACCGCAGGAAGGAGCAGGAGGAGCAGCGGCTCTGGAGGGTCAGAGCGGATGCCCGAGGGGCACCTGCTGCTACTGCCGAAACCAGGAGCTTGTCGTGAAAGCACAAGAACAGACTTAAGTTTAAAATGAAATAAGGAACTAAAGGAGGAATGGGGATCTGGGGATTTTTTGTTTTGTCAAACTCTCACGCGATAGTCTTTAAAGCCCTAAAAGGTACCGACAAGATCTACACCTGTCCCACACGGAGCTCAAAACCCCGATGCGTTACAACCCCATCCCAGGAACACCGAGGCAGCTGCAAACCGCACCGCAAGGCAAAGCCCCGGCCCTCCCTGCCCAAAGTTCCCCAGCACGCCCCGTTCCAGAGGGCACCTGCAGCCCCGCTCCTCCGGCCATCCTCCTCCACCTCCTCCTTCTCCTCCTTCTCCCCGGCTCTCAGCGCTCCACCACCGGCGGCCCCGGCCCAAAGTTGGCGGCGGACGGATGCCCGGCTCCGGGTAGCGGCACCTCGGCATCAGCACACCCACCGGGAGAGGAATAGTAAAAAATACACATATATGCATACAGATACGTATACGAGCACGTATGAGACGCGCAGATTCATGCATTTAAGATGCTTTGATTCATCTCCCCCTAGATTTTCACCTCGCCTGCGGAGACGCTCGGAGAGCACAGTTTGCAAAAAACAAGACAAAGGCAATTACACGAAAAGGAAAAAAAATAAGAAGAAAACAAATCCCCAGGGCAGGTGCCGCCGGGAGGGGACCAACACTCACCCCCAGCCGCCTGCTCCGGATGCGCACGTAGCCCTGCTTCACGATGTCGTTGAAATTGGAGGCCATCCTTCTCCGGGAAAGTTAGAGGCAGCCGTCGGGGCGGCTCAGGCACCCCTACCGGCACAGCAGCAGCCTCCGGGAGAACCGCGCCCGCTCCCCTCCGCTCCGCCCCACCGAGCGCCCCGGCCCCGCGACGGGCAGGGCTGTGGGCAGGGCTGCGCTAATGCCCGCCCCGCGTCCTCCATCGCTCCTCTTCTGAGCCCAGCTGTCCAATTCGTTTCTAAGGAGCAGAATACTGAGGGTTGTCCGTTTCTGGGGAGTTGCGTTGAACTGCCCGCTCGGTGCGCGCTGCTCCGCCGTGCCCCTGTTAGCCCGGCTGCAGGAAGGTGGGCTGGCAGCGGTCAGCCCTGCCCTTCTGTGCCGAGGAAACCGCTCCCACCTGCGGTTTTTCTCAGGAAAGTGTGTTTCCCAGAAAGTCTTTCAGATGCCTGAAAGCCTGCCAGGTGGCTCAGCCCCAGCATCTCCTGACGGCCGGTAACCGGAGCTGCGCCCTGCGCTCAGGACGGGGTCCCATGGCACACTTCCAGTCTTGGAAATGTCACACGAGCACGCGCTGCATTTTCCAGCACTGTGTGCTGCTTGCAGTAAGGGATGAGCGCCTGGCGCTGGGCCCGGGGTTTCCCTCCTGCAGCCTCACATCTCCTTTTCCAGGAACGTGCAGACACTGTCAAGCACTGGGGCTCCAAGGACCCTGCTTGCTCTCTGTAGGTTACCTGTTAGTGGTACGCTATAAATACTGTGTCCTGGAAAGAGGAACCGTTCATCTCCTTATCACATCTTTTAATAGCATCCCAATTATAGGCAGTCTGAGGAGGAGGTCAGCCAGATGACTTTGACAATTATCATGTCCTGCAAATGACAAAGTGAGTAGAGAGAAGGCAGGCAGAGCAGAGCAGAGCTCAGCAAGGAGGGCATCTCGCAGTTGAGCCGAGCACCAGGCAAGGTGGGAATGATGCCTATGTTGATTTGGTCATTCAGTTACTACGAAACTCACTTGTAATAAGACTGGCCCTTTTCTAAATCCATAGCTCCTTCAGATTGGAAACAGTCACAACAGTGCTGGTTGCTCTGTTGTGGGAGCAGCTTGGTGCTTTCTGCTCTTGCTTGAGGTGACTGTGCTTTGCAAGGATTTACAAAGATATTAATTGACAAGTGGTTATGGAGATAGAGCATAAGGCTTTCTAGCTGAAGGGCTAATTCACTTAGGATGAATGAGACAACTCTGCAGTCTTGTTTCAGATTCTACATTACCATTTTACATTTCCCTCTCCTTTTCACTAATTCACAGAACACATAAAATAACACAGTTAGAAGCAACAAAAGCAGCAACACTCATGAACCAAAACACTCCAGAAATCAGATTATTCTAAGACGAGTCCTTGCACTCAAGAAAAAATGTCCTCAGAAGTTGCATATTACAAAGCATATGCACCTCAGTTCAGACCTGCCAAACAGTGTAATCTTCTAAAGCATGTTGTATCCAAGAACATGGATAACATCAGTCCCCTGACAGGTTGGATGTCAGTCCTGGCTGAAAGCTCGAGGAGTTGAGATTCCCACCCTGCTGCTCCTTGCAGAGCAGTGTGCATTCAGTGTGTAAACGTATTTCACAATCTCAAGCACTATGAAAACAGCAATGCTGGAAGAATCAAGTGTAGTCTGAAATGAGAGAGCATTTACTTTGATTTCACAGATATCTGTGACAGGAAACAAATTACAGAACCACTTCAGGTGTCTTTTCAGCAATTTTGGGCTCTGCTTCTAATCCCCCCCAGTGCCCATAGACACATCCCACCGAGTTGGTCAGCAGCAGTGCGCTCCTGCAGGTACGCACATCCCTAAGAGCTCTGCTAATTAAAGGCAGAATTAATCCTGTGCTCATTCTTTGATGAATTAGGATATTAGTGTCCATTTATGATTCGCCTTTGAACAACCCAAATCCCTCAGCGTGCCATAGTTCAAAGAGAAAATGCATTTTAATTTCCATGCATGCAACACTTCAAGAACGTGCCAGAAAATCTCATTGCTTGGGTTTTCAGCCCGCTGCCATCACTGTGAAACAGAACTGCTGACCAGGTTTTCAATACTGATACAAATGAGTTCTCTTGTTGTTTTGACAGCAGTGCTTCCCGTTCCCTGGGGCCTATGGACCATCAGCACTCCCTGTAAGGAAATGCTGCCCCATTATCTTTATCCCAAACTGTACAAAACCTTTTCAATAAGCTTTCCTTGATATGTAAATTCTTCTCTTTTTAATGGCAATGTTATTTACTTACACTTCTTATTTCAGGGGTCACTTTGAAGTACCAGACTGCTGCTAATAGCTTAAGTGGATTGTTATTGCTTTCTCATCTCACAGTGCCATGTCACCATACTGCCCTGCAATGAGCTGCCTCACTTTGGAGGCTCCAAAACTAGAAATGGCTGGTATGCATTTTCACTGAAAATGAAGGGATCCATTTTTTTTCCAAATGCCATACTGACATTTGCAAAAGAAGCCATGTTCACCTCTCTGTATTTGAAGCATGTCATCCTCTGTGTTTGCAGTGTGGTTTCATCAGCCTAAAGGTGACGTGTGGCAAAGATGGCTGGGTTGTACTGCAGGTAGAGGAGCTGCAGAGCCCACTGGAAGGAAGCAGCATTTTCTGGTACTCGTGCACACAGATGGAGCTGCTACAAACCTGACTAAGAAAGGTCCTGATGTGATCACCCTGAAATTATTTTCTGGAAATGTATAACATGCATCAATAGTTTGTTGGGTTTTTTTATTAAAAGGACCCATAGCATTTTGTTTCCATAAGGTCAGGATGCCAACATTTTCCCACTATTCTTTTGATTTTTCAGAGTATTTTCAGAAATGATAACATCACAGTGAAGTGCTCTGACCTTATCAAGTGCTCGGAGGTTAGCAGAATGCAATATCTCACATGCAGTACCTCCCTGAAGAGCCTTTGACATTCCTTTTCCTATTTCTGCTTTGGTGTGAGACAAATTTTTGACATTTCATTTTTATTTTTGTGGAAATTGTGAATTTGGACTAATTCTACCTGCAAGGAAATGCAGCTGATAATGAGCAAAAATAAAAAGGGATCATTGCTTATAAAAAAGTGCTGCCTTGGTTTTGTTGTTTGCTTTACTAATCTGTTGCAAACCCTGAAATCCTCTTTGTGCAAAGCAAAATCTGTAGGGTTGCCTTGGATGATTAAGCAAACCTCGGCCTGTTTAATTCTGAAAAATGGAAATGAGTCTACTTGGAATTTACCCTACTTTGCAGTGCAGGGATTGGTTTTGTCACCTCTCTGTGGCTCGTCCCCTTGCTGAGATTCATGAGACTGAGCATCCCACCCCCATTACATAGCATGGGCACAGAGTTACTCACACCATAAATGCCCATCAGTGTGAGCAGCCAATAATCAATATTTAATGACAATAAATAAGCCATTAAGCAGGCCAGTGTGTAATTTTGCATAGCAGCAGTGCAGTATCTGGCAGTACCTTACCTCTGTGCTACTCACTCCAGTGATTTTGCTTCGTGCAGAGCAAGGCAGGGAGAGGCAGAAAAGGGAGAGGGAGGAGGGAAACAGCAAATGAAATGCATCTGTTTAATGAAACCCTGGTTCTGACTGTAATATTTTGTCCCTAACAAAATTACTGTCAACGCAATGCATGTTAAGATAGAAATAAATATATAGTGAGTGAATCTGCAGGCCAAGTGAATGCAGGGCAACGTTAGATACTGAACAACCAACATTCATTTTGCTTGCTTTGTGTTTCAGTGACTGATACGTTTAAGCAACTTTTTCATTCTCATTTTCCTGCAGACATACATCAAGGGCCTTCCTGCTTCTGCAGAACACGGCTGTGGGGATTAAGCAGGACGCAGTGGCAGGTCATGAGGTCACCATCCATCCTTCCTGTTCCTATACGTAATTTATCAGAGCCTGCAGTGTATCAAAGCACAGCTCTGGGATTGACAGCTCGCTCTGATCTTTGGCTGTGGAGGAGCTGGAGTGATGGAGCCTGTGTAATTGCAGCCTTCCTGGCTGCATGTTTGATATTTCCTGTACCAGGCAGCACAGAAATGCTGCTTCCATCATAGGTCCCAAAAAACACAACTGGGCATAGCAGTGCAATGGGGAGGACTTATTCACATCTATAAGCTTGGACTTGGGCTGCTCGGATCTCTTAGGTCCATTTCTTGGTCAATTCTGCAGTCAAGGGGTGAAATGCTGCTCTAAAAGCCCTGAATGGCCCAACTGGCACTGATAATCAACTGACACCCCTGGAACAAGGCAACCTCTTCCAAGACAGTGAAAGGCTTCCTCAAGACTCAAACTGCTGCCAGAAAGCAATCCCCCACGTTTCAGATTAAACCCAGATATTAAGACTTATACTTCAAAATTCAGATGGAAGCTTCTTTACATCATATCACATTTTTAAACGTTTCTGAATTTGACTTCAGTGCACATATTTGTGGATATTCCAATAGTGATTGATTCCAGTGAAATTTATTTCCCATTGTTTTGCCCTAAATACTAATTACTGAGCTAATGTCAAGATAATTTGATGTCTATGTTAACAACATGTCTACAAGGCAAACTCTTATCTTGTCTCAGTGCGTATTTATTGCTGCACATCTACTGAAAATTTATGCCTGAAAGTTTTTTTGATCTTTTTGTTGCTGTTAAATGAAGTAGAAATAACTATATATTCTAATTATAGCATTTGCAGATGGCATTTGGAAAAGATATCAAATAGTGCCAGTTTGCAAAGCAGAGTTTGATATTTTGTGTGCTGCCTCCTATAATCAGTAGATTTGGGGCTGGATTGTAATGTTTCTTCGTGTAGTTATGCAGTGAAATTTGTGTGAGCATTTCCCAGAACTGGGCACCTGAATAAAATGAATGAACACAAAAGGAAGTATCATTCAGCACTGCAGCATGACTTGCAGGTAGGAGAAGCCAGGGCTCTTGCTGAGCCATGCATGTTGGAGCTATTGAAAGGGGAAGATATGGAGGATGGATTCTATTCGCCACGGCATCCTCCCAGTATGTCAATCTCTTTGCATGGAAGGTGAAAGAAAAGTTGTGCTTTGTGATGTGCTGAAAAGCCAAAGCAAGCTCATCCCCTTTATGAGAAAGACAAACTACTAAGAAAGATTGATGTCTGTATCACAGGAGCTCTATGCTGCAGTACTGGAGAAGACAGCTAGCTGCAGAGAGCTGAGACAAAAGGCTGCATCACCTCCTCTTGCACATACAATTGGGAAACCTCAGTTCACATGAGAGAACCTGCTCCCCACTTCTTTGAAAGGGCAGCCACATTGATGCGTCTCCTTGTGAACTTTGAAGATGGAAATTCAAAACGGCCATTACAGAGCAAAGACCAGCTCAAATGAGGCAGACACCAGGGCAGCACGTTGTTCTTTTTATTACACAGGAACTAATCTAGAATTTCTATTTCACTACAGCAGTGGTGATCAGACTATTCATAGCTCCACAACCGCATGGTGAGAGGTTCTCTTTGGAACACAGGTTTTGCAAATTTCTGCTAACTATCCAGCAACTGCAAGTGCTTCAAACTGAATTGCTACTGACCTTTCTCTGTGAGCC